GGAGGCTGCAATGCTTGGTAAGAAATGTACGCATTATCCTGCCCATGCAATTGTAACCCCTCTGTACAGTATGTTCACAAATAAAATAAAATTAAATTAAAAAAAAAACCACTAGAAAACCAGAAGTGGCGCTATGGTTCAAGAGGTAGAGTGCTCGCCTTGAGCTGAAGAGTGCAGGGACAGCGCCCAGGCCCAGAGTTCAAGCCCCATGACCAACAGCAACAACAACAAAAAAAAGAGTCTTATGGGCTTTCCTGCCCGGGCTGGCTTTGAACCGCGATCCTCAGATCTCAGCCTCCTGAGTAGCTAGGATTACAGTTGTGAGCCACTGGCCACTGGCTCGTTTGTCTCTTTTTGTATTATTTTTCAGTGCTTACACAAAAGGGTTTAAATCTGACATATGAATTTACAAGTATGGTGCATCCTGATCAGTATCACCCGTTTCATCATTCTCCCTGCTCCTTCCATCCTCTTTTTCTTTCTTTCTTTCTTTGTGTGTGTGTGTGTGTGCTGGTACTGGGTCATGGGTGCTAGCCCAGAGCTCTGTTCCTCAAAGCTGATGTTCTACCACTTAAGGCACAGCTCCACTTCCAGCACTTGGATAATTACTTGGATATATGAGTCTTAAGAACTTTCCCGCCCAGTTTGGCTTCAAATTGTGATCCTCAGATCTCAGCCTCCTGAGTAGCTAGGCCTGCAGGTGTGAGCCACTGGTGCCTGGCTCCTCCTTCTTTATTTTTTTTTGTCAGTCGTGGTGCTTGAACTCTGGGTCTGGGCGCTGTCCCTCAGCTCTTCAGCTCAAGGCTAGCACTCTACCACCAGAGCCACAACACCACTTCCAGCTTTTTTCTGCTTATGTGGTGCTGAGGAATTGGACCCAGGGCCTCAGGCATGCAAGGCAACCGAGCCACCTTCCCCGCTCCTCCTTCCTTATTCTTAAGACAAGGAAAAATTGTGTACCTTGAACCAACAACTGTGCACTGTGAAATAGTATCTGACACCACTTTCGCCAAAATGTTCATACAGGTATACTCCCAATGAGCCATGCTGGTCATAGATTTCCCGCTTCTTAGGATCACTCAGTATGGCATGGGCTGCGTTGATCTCTTTGAAGATTTCTTCTGCTTGAGGGTTGTCTGGATTCTTGTCTGGATGGTACCGCAAGGCCAGTCTCCTACCCAAGCAGTACCCAAAAGGAGGGTGGGGAGGGATGGAGAATGGCTAAAGAGGGAGGGTTAGGATGAATGGTAGGGATAGGTCTCTAGACAGTGCAGGAGAGCAAGAGGGGGTGGTACAAAGGATGGAGGCAAACAGCTAAAATCTAAATTTCTTCCCATGGCACATTAATCAGAAGGATGTCCTCCTTTGATCCCCAAATAAAAACTTGACATTAAAACAGGTCAGAAAGCAAGGTAGAAAGAAAACGGTTAGAGGGGGGAAATGACAGGATTCCACAGAGGAGAGGGGTCTGAACCTGTAGGCTCTCTTGATCTCTTTAAGTGAGGCACCCTTCTTAACCTCCAGCACTGCATAGAGGGTTGAACCCCGTTTGGATAGCTGGCGGGCGGCTTCTTCCACATGAGACATGATCTGGGCCAGAAGAATAAGAACACAACGTCAGTGATGCCCACTCACCATGGCTTGAAGGACAGTGCAGGTGACCAGAAAGACATTCAAATGCAAATGTCAATGAGGAAACATCTTCCCCTCATTTCCCAGCATTCTCTAGCTATTTAGCCCCCCAGGCACTCCAGAGCTGAGAGAGGCCTAAGCAAAGAGAGATTTGTGCCTCAGAAAAGCGCGATTTTGTCTAGGGCTTGTATACTTTAAAAACCTGTCCAAGCTTAGGGTTTGGTTTGAAAGACCAGGATGGGTCCCAGTCCTTGAATAGGCTTGGTCAGGAAATTGAGATCTCTAATCACAGATCAAACCTGCACTGCCGAAGGAAGTGAAATGTTCAAAAGCCAAGCAGAGGCTAGGCCAGGGCCTTACGGCTAGGCCAGGGCCTTACTTCTTCCTCACCCTCTAGTTCCCAAATCTGCCCTCAGCTCCTCAACACTGGGTCCTGAGGAGAGCAGGAAGTTGACGCAAGGGCTGAGGAGGAGGAGGGCAGAGGGTTGCTGTAGAGGTGGCGGGCCCTGGAGCAAGACCCCCGAAAGTGGGCCAGAGAGGCCTGGGAGAACCAAAGCAAGGAGCCCAGAGGGCTTCTCCGTATTTGCTGAGGCCCGTAGCCCTGTGCTGATTCTCTACCAGGCCTGGTCCTGTACCTCGGAGTCGTTCTCTTGAGCTAGGTAGGCCTCATATATCCTTCATTCTCCCAGGTGCGAAACTTCACACCGGGGCTTGGTCGCTGGCTGGCTGCGCATGCTCAGTAGGCACCGTGGGGACGTTTTCTGGCGCTGCCGGAAGAACGGACGGAGAGGCTGAGTTAGCCCTGAGACTTATTTCACTCAGGAAGCCGGAGCGGCAGGCCTGGGCTGAGCGTTGCTTCCAGCCCAGGCACCGCCTTCCACCGCGTCTTTCTTCAAGTGGGAGGCCACCACCCACCTGATCGCCATCATGGCTCTCCAACTCTCGCTGGGAAAGACAGCGGGCTGGCTGAAGTGGCAAAAGAGGTATGGCTGCCCAGGCCTTCTCAAGGGCTGTATTTCCTTTCCAGGCTTCCTCAGAATTTAGGGATCTTCACTTGGTCCTTTCTCCCCCTTCGTCTCCGAAACTCTTCCACAGCCTTTGAGATTCACCGCCAACGTGAGTGGCTGCCCAACTTGGGCGTCAAAGCATGTGTCTTATTGTAATGATCCATTGGCTATTTATTTATTATTTTGTTTTGAGACAAGGTCTATGTAGTCCAGGTGGTGTCGAACTGGTGTCGAGGCTCCTGCCTCATCTGGATTGCTGGGATTACAGGCAGGTACTACCAAACCCACCCTTTAAAATGATATCACGAGCCTTTCCAAAAGTGCTTCGTAAATGTCATTTAAGTGTGATTCCATCATGAGTATGTATTATAATGTGAATTATATAAGCCAGGTTGGATATTTAAGTTGTTTCTAAATACTGCTGTTACCAATCAAGTCCTTGGATGAATCTCAGATTTCTGTTTAAGGACAGACAGATTCCTGGACGTGAAGTATAATTTTATTTATTTATTTTTTTTTGCCAGTCCTGGGTCTTAAACTCAGGGCCTGGGCACTGTCCCTGAACTTCAGTTGCTCAAGGCTAGCACTCTACCATTTGAGCCACAGCACCACATACTGGATATTTTTTAAGGTACACACACACGCACGCACGCACGCACGCACGCGCACACACACACACACACACATGGTGGTTAGGTCTTCTCTTTCTCCCTCTCTTTTTCCCTCTCTCTCTCCCTTTCCCCCCTCTCTTCTTCTCTCCTCTGCTTTCTTTTCTTTTGTGATTCTAGGAATTGAAACCAGCACCTTCCACATGCAAGCACTTTGCCACTTAAGCCAAGCTCCCAGCCCTATATCATTAACTTTTGTCTCAGTTACCCAAAGTACTATTTTACACCACCACAGATAGTGGAAACGCCCATCTACCTGGCCTGGCCTTTTCTCATGTCCCCTAGGAGGAAGAGCTTGTAGTGTTGGCTTCCTTTACAGAGGATGGCTCAAAGGCTCTGATAACATGAAATTGAAAAAGCATTATTATTCAGTAAGTCCTTTTCATGACCCCTTTTGTGGCTTTGGGCACACTTTCCTATTTATTACAGTTATTCAGGCATATGCACCTTCCTCTTAGGTTTTAATTGGCGAGTCAATACTCCATCTCAATCAATGCCAGCCATCTAGGCAAATTGAGTCTGTATGCAACAGGCATAATGAATACTGAATTAGTGAATTCATTTCTATAGATCTGTGACCAGTGCATCCATCTAACCTATAGGTTCTTGGTCAGATGAATTAATGAGGTTACTTAACTACACAGAAGGAGCTTATCTGACTTTTTTTTAATGGTTTGTACGATACAAGGCTTCTCTACTCTCCAGTCTCTTATCAGCAATAGAACTAGTGGAACAAACCATTTCATTTCTTCACAGCACTGCGAAGGGAGGAAAAGCCATTCAAAATGTAGTGTACATAACAGTGGACTCTCTACCTCCATCTCCAAGGCCAGCCTGGTCCTGCCTCAGTCTCTCCAATCTCATCCAGAATCACTGTCTAACTTGCTCTGGGTTCAGCCTCATTGCTCTCCTGTCATTTCTTTGGAGACACCGTGTTCCCTCCCAGCTCAAGGGCCTTTGACCATGTTGTTACCTCTGCTTGAAGGGCTCTTCCCCAGGCTATTCCTACGGCTGATTTCTCATCCTTTAAAGGTCTTTGTTTCATGCCTCTCCAGAGAGACCTTTCAACTGAGTTTCATTCTGTCCTCACCTCATAACACCTTCCCATGATTTATGAATATATATATATATATATATATATATTTACATGTGCATTGACGTATTTAAGATCTGGCTTTCCCAGTTGACAATGAGCTCCTCAAGGACAGAGACCTTATATTCCTGGTACCTAGAACCATGTCTCATTCTCAATAAGTGAATTAGTGATTTGTGGGGTAAGCTACAGATAAGGTACCTTTAATAGAATGTAAGCCTGGAGGTTGAGCCACAGCAAGATTTCTTTTGGACCAAAACTGGTGAATTAGACAGGTTGATAGAGTCCATCTTCCCTCATATGGTCCTAGACGAGAGGGAATAAAGGACTATGAACCTGGCTCAAATGGGTAGAATGCCTGCCTATTAAGCACAAGGCCCAAAAGTTCAACACACACACACACACACACACACACACACACACACACACACACATACATGACAAAGATAGAAGATTAGAGGCTAGATTATAGGTACTATGACTCTGAGCTCCTTATTTCTTTGCCTCAGTGTTCCTCCAGTTTCTAACACAGTTGCTGGGATATAAGTGATCAATAAATGTTGGCTGGCTGACTAAAAGAGCAAACAGATGCCTGACTTTTCAGTCATGTTTGCTTAATTGTCTTCTTTAGTTTTCACAGAAACCCTAAGAGAAAATATGATCACATCCTTGCTCTGTGGAAGAGTCCTGGGAAAGTTAGTAAACATCATTCACATTTTGTCAGAGGCCCTAGAATATTATTACTTCTTATCCTTGCCCTCTAGCATCTTAATTACTCATAGTCCATTATCTAAGTCTTGTGAGGCACTGCTCTGAATGGACAGATGCCAGTTAGCTGTGTGTCTGGTGTGCTGTGGCCAGGGTCTGCCTTCTGCCTTCCAGACTCCAAGCCCCCTTGATGGTCCTGCTCACAGCTTTTTTCTCACACCCATCCCAGAGGTATAAGGAATACTCATACCAAGTGTCAGAGCCCTAGAACCCAGTTCTTGCTCTGGCTGTAACCCATTGTGTGGTCTTGGACAAGTCCTTTAGTCTGTGAATCTTCTTTTCCTCTACTGGAAAAATCTGTTCCATAGAGTTAATGCCATGACTCAATTAGAGTTGATTGTAAAAAGAACAGAAAAACAGACAAACCTGTGCCAGTGAGTGGCTACAGATAAAAACCATTTGTAGGAACCTTTGCTTTCCCACTACAACTTGTGTGAGTGATCGTAGCACTTACTGCCTCCCAGAGCCATTTAGGTTTTCTAAAACATCCCTTGTTTACCCACAGATAAAAAGTGGTAGTCATATAGCAGTAGTACACACATATACAGACAGCAGACATTGACATATTTATACTCAAAATACCTCAGTCTGGAACATATGCAGTTGGAGAGAGAGCAAGAGGAGAGAAGAGAGAAAGAGAGAGACTGAGACCAAGGCAGAGACCATAATTTGTCACAACCAACAATAAGGTTCTAAAATTGTATTATCTGAGTGGGAAAGGACCTCAGCGCCTTCATTTCATCTACACCAAGTGCAGCCCATGGAGAAGGACTGACCTTCTCAAGGTCACCCAGTGAGGTCTAGACTGTCTTCTGACTTCAAGTTCAAGATCAACAGCGTAACTGCTCCTTATATACCAGCTTGCATCCCGGTGAAAAGTGCACATCTAGAGACAGCCCAAAGCTGGTATTTCTGGCCTTTCACTGGTGATGTCAGGTAGCGTCTCTCCGTGCCTTTTCCCACTGGAAGGCATGTATACTGTAGGTGAACAGAATCCCACCAGCCCAGTTTTATTTGTCTGTCTTTTCCAGGCCACCCATGTGAGGGCTTCTAGCTGGAGAGGTGGCCTCATGTTCCTGCGTCTGTCACCTGCAGCCCTGCTCATTGCACACCTGGGGTCAGAATGATGACACTCTTGTCTTGTTCTAAGATGGCGTTGATAACATCTACCTCTTTGGGTTTTGAGATGACTAAATTCTTAATTTAAACAGTGTCCATATAAGTGCTTTATAAGACAACCAATGATTCCTATCATTGTAATCATTATTTCTATCTAGTCTCCTTCCAATTTTAGGAATTGAAAATTACTTTTCATTCATTTATTTATTTTTGTCGGTCATGGGGCTTGAGCTCTGGGCCTGGGCACTGTCCCTGAGCTCTTCAGCTCAAGGCTAGTGCCTTGAACCACAGCACAATTTT